AACACAGGAGAGCACAACTCCAGTCCTGGAGGGCCAGGATATTTATTTGTGGTTTTCTTAGCACATGAGTCCTTAATTACCTAATTGAACTCATTGAATTAGAAAACATTGAAGGTGTAGTTGAGCACCCTGGATCTAGCAGAAATCATTATATGAAATGCTCTGGGGCGGTTTCTTCTACTCAATAGCATAATACTAATTATTCATAATTAATTAATACATAATTCTCCTTTTTCTGTTTGTTCTATGTTTGCAGCACATTTCAATTTAATCTCCACACACACAGTCATTACATTAATGAATTATATGAGATCATTAACTATGTTTATCCGTAAAATGCTACAAGTTTAAAAATATAAAGAATTGTGCATGAAAGATAGATACTTTATTGGTCCCGTGAGGGAAATTGCAGTGCAACAGCAGCTTTACACAGACAACACAGCCACAGTGTGACGAATGATACAATAATAATAATAGTACAACACATACAATACAATCAGTACAGTGAGGGGAGCACTAAAAGAGTTACTCACAGTCCAGACACACAAAGAACAAACTAGAACAGAACTGTACGCAGAAAAATTGTATCACGCATATGAATATAAATATAGATGTAAATATAAATGTATTTCACGGGTCCCTGGCATATATTGCACAAAAAACGGTTGTAAACGGGAAAAGAAAAGAAAGAGAACAGATGTAGCAGTAGATGTGTAGATGCGTTCAGTCCAGAAACAGGTCACTGTCGATGTTGCCTCTGCCCAGATGCAAGGTGGATGCGTTGTACAGTCTTATGGCAGAAGTCAAGAATGACCTCCTGTAGCGCTCCCTGTCGCACCGTGGAAGAATCAGTCTGTTGCTGTCAGTCTATGGCTTCATTTCTACAAGCCTGTCATAGAGGGGAAAGAGCTAATTTAACAGAAGTCATGTCTTTGACAAAAAAAAACCAACAACATGCGAATCACCCAACACCCAGGAAAGGAGGAAGATGAAGTCCAATTGGAGCAACATCATCAGAAAATGATTACAGTGACCACGACAGCCTTCTAAGCAAATAACCTGAAATAAAAGCAATTTCTGGTCAAGTATTAAACCATCACCAAACCAAAGATATCAGTTAGTGATGCTGAATTGAGTTTCAGCGATGGAATACAGCTGTAACAGCCCTTTTATAGCATTACCTCAAAATCGTTTTAAGGCGCCTCACAGAATGATTTATGCAGAAATGGAACAGAATCTCTTCCAAGTAACTGTAGCGCGAATTGATGTTTGTGTTTTCATTTAAACAATACATTGCTCTGCTTTGTATTCTGACACTTAACACTTTAGCCTTTGTGCATCTTGAATACAGTAAAGAAATTCAACAGAAGTTTACACCTGTGTGAAGTGAAGGAAAGAGTATAGTTTATTGTCCAGCTCAGACCATTATCGTGACATTATAAATGTCCTTCACCAACAGCACAGTAAATGTCATGTAAATAAATCTTCTAGTGTGAGGCTGCATAAATGAATGGCTGAATTTGTTATCAAGGGTTACTTGAAGCAATACTACAAATTTAATAAAATGCTCTCTGTTGGAATAAAGCCTTTCTTGGGAAGACTTCTTTACAATTCTTGAAATCTCATCAAAGAGCTTAGTACATCTTATTAAGGCCCTGTTAATTAACAATACAATAATACAGATGCAAACCAAAGGTGTTATTAGCAAGCCAGGTAGATCCAGCCATCATTTATGAAAGAGAACGTTTCACATTAAGTGATCATTTAGTGAAAGTTATGTGACAACATTTGTTCCAAATATATATACATCTTCTGCAACACTGTTGTGCTCTATGAACATTGATGTTTTGGCATGTTATGAAGAAGAAGAGTTAGAGAAGCGATTGCTGATATACAGTAGGTCATCGTTTGAATTAGTGGGTCCTACATGGAACTTTAGTTTATTTTTCAAATGTATTATTTTGGAAGTTTTTAAAATTTGTTTTACTGAAAAACCTGAAAACAGGTTAATGTGCCACACCTCTACATTTAAAACTGTAACTCTGGTTTCTTTTGTGTTTTCTCAGTAGAAAATAGTTTCCATACTCTTCTTTCACAAAAGCCCTCCAGTCACAAAAATTGGAATTGACTTTCAGCTTATGTAGCACATGATTTATCACAGCCAGAGTTTGTGATAGAAAGGAGCATACTTAATAGTCAGATGTGGCTTTTCATGACTTAGGAAATGATGAATTCAATTTTGTTCTTCGATCTGTTTTCATCTGCTGCTCCAAAAGCCTGCATATGTTTTCTTTTTTCCTGTTGTGGGGAGGGGGGTATATGCATTTGATTACTTAATGATTAAATGACTATTTTTTTGTTTCTGAATTCAATTTCTTTTCCTATTACTTTTGTTAATTGCTAAATGAGCTATCCAATGGCAAGATCCACATTTATTTAAAGAGATTTAATTTTGCTCTGTTAGATTTAGTTTTTTTAACCAGTGTTATTTGAACTGAGTCCATATTTTGATGTTTAAAAGATTTTGTCAGTGCTGAATTGTTCAGTTCAACTTGTACCAAAGAGGCTGTGTGGATTGCCCCCAGCTAAACTATGGAAATTAATTTACATCATTCGCCTACCATTTCCTCAGCTATACTATTGGAAATGGGAAAAAAAAAAACAGATTGCATTTGTGCTTCACTGGTTTCAGAACAGATCTGTAAACATCTGATCTTCATTTTGAATTTCTCTTACGTTGTCACATGGTTTTTTAATTGAAAACCAGTCTTTTAAAATCAGTTGTGGCAAAAGGTCAGTGGATTTATCATTCAGAAACCTTAGCTGAGGTCTATATTTTCTAACCATTTCTGAAATGAGCTTCATTTCTGAAAGGTTTTCAGTGGTATATCTAGTTGCCAGGCAACCTTAAACGAAAAAATTCTAGAGCAGGATCAAAATGAATATTGACATTGAACTTTGAAAGCTTGTCCTACAAAAAAATCCTGACTAGGCTAAAAGTATTTTATAACATGTGATGGGCTATCAGTGACAGATTTGAGGCTAAACAATGTTCCTCAAAATGAGTTTATTCAAGACTTGATTCAGATTGTGTCCATCAGGTGTTGCTTATTTTCTTGTGTGTTTACTGTTGTAGTTACTTTTGTGATGTTTTTCAGATGGTTACATTCAGATGACAAAAATAGTAAAAAAAAAAATAGTATGATTAACTGGCATTCGGTTTTTGGGGTGCATTCATGCTAATTTTGTTCAGTTTCCTTGCTCGTGTAACTGTCTGACCTTTTGAGTATTCATCAAATATAATTGTATTTTCCCTTTGAAGAAACAGAATGGAGATGTTTCTTGGAAAGTTTTAGCTGCAGCTAGTGATGTACTGACGACAACATCAAAATCATGCAACTTAGCAGAATAGTCTGAATGGAAAAACAACCGTAGAATCAGCCTGATATCACTTTTACCCTTATCTGCAGTCCTGGCAAAGGTGTCTTTGATGAGATTTACATCCGTGAATAACATGCAACTGTAATCACAGAAGAGAAGGAGGCTTGCTTCATCACAGAGTCCCAGGCGCATGCCTCTGATCTTTGGAATTCATGACAGCTCCCTTTGGTAAACAGAGCCGTGATCTTTGTCGTCTGGAATGGAGGAATGAAATCTAAGGGCTGCTATTCTAAATCAGGATCTTCTGCATGTCAGATAAAATTCATCGACACAGTGGCTATACTTGTGTGTGCATGTGAGCCTATTAATATAGATACTGTATATAAGGTAACATTGTGGCATCATTCTGCATGTTGAAAAAGAAGTTGGCCATTTCTTCTTTCACAAAAATGTTGTAAATGTTTGCACGTCAGTGTCTGTGGTGAACGAGTGTGTAAGGGATGCTACTGTAGGTGTACAGTGTGTTCATGGCTTGTCTGACAGTCCACAAGCCTGACCCACATTTGGGTGCTTCTGGCATTGCACTAGGATACATGTGGTTTTCATTCCCGCGACTCCAGTGCTTCTTTCCAGGCCAGTTTCGTTTAAGAGTCGGAACTGTTTTCAGCAGCGAGAATACTCTTTCACCAGTTCGCCCTCTGTAAGTGGTTGTGCCTCTCTCTGAAATGCACTGTTCACATCGTGGAGCTCTACCATTTTTTTGCATGTCAGCTCTATAGAACAGAGTTAGAGTTGGGAGCCTTTTGCTTTCGATGTGGCAGGCATCTGTGTAAGTAATACATTTTTTAGAAAAGGTCTTAAATTCACATTTTTAAAAATACATTATTTCTTGCCATATTATCTCAATTGGGCTGCAGTTCTACTCCATTTATTGAAATCATAGGATGCTTTTTGAGCTTCTGTGATGTTCTTCTAGCTGTGTTATTTACCTGATCAGCTAATCAGATGATTTAAATGTTAAAACATTTTTTAGCCTCTGTTGCTTAAAGCATTTAGGCTAGTGCTTCAATGAATTATTCTCACTTTGCCTTTGTCTTTTTGTGGTGTATAAAAAAGAAATACTTCAGTAAGTATTAAGCATCTGAAGTAACAGACATCCAAAAAGCAATTTATACTATATGACTCCATTAAGACGTTACATTTTGAATCGTAGAGGTTTGAATTGTAATTGCCTTGAAATTTCTCAGACAGAACCATTCTGGTCACAGGCCTTTTGCAAACTTCCCTGGACAGCTTCCAGACCTCCAGCGGAAGAGGAGGTCATGGCAGCCCATATGGAACTGTGCCCTTTTCATGAGTGGGTGGAATAAAGAAAATAATGCTTTGCAGATATCGCTGTCATTGAATAAAATAATTAGATTGGTCAGATGTTGTCCCTGCTTGAAGTTGTTGGGGATTCGCCTGCTGCAGCTTTATTGTTCGTTACTCAGTACTGTAAAATCATGGTACCTTTACATCTGTGGAGACTGCAGACACGAGCCCATGGGCGTGATGTGGTGTGCTGTAACCTGGTGGTTGCATCTGCTCACACGCAGCCCACTCTCTTCTCTGTTGCTCAGGTGTTCCTCGGCTGGATGGAGCAGCTCCTCAACCCTCAAGTGTGACCACAGTCCAAAAGCAGCCCGTCACCGTGACCACCTCCGTCCCCCCCTGCCCCCCCAAGCCCCCCGCAGGGGCCCGCAAACCCAACGTCGCCTTGCTGGAGATGAGGTCTGAAAAGAAAGACCCACCCACCCTGACCGTGCAGGTATTCAGAGACGCACCGCTTCATACTAATCTATACCCTTCAGCCACGAATGTCATCTGATCTCAGTATAAAAGGGACCCTTAATACGTATCTGCATGTTAAAATAGATCTCTTTTAATCAGGCAGTTTGCAGTCCACTGTGCTTGGTAGGATTTAGACCTTTAGACTGACTCCTGTGTGATCACCTTTGTGTTTGTGTCTGAATACAGGTTTTGCCAAGTGTGGACATCAACAGTGTTTCCAGTGAAAGCCCTGCTCCATCTCCTCCTCTAGCACAACCTAATATTCAGGTAAATTCATTGGAAGAAGAAAGTTAAATACACCAAACCTGATCAGAGCAGTATTTTTTTTATTCAAGTTAAAAGAACAGTGTGTTTGGAACCAAACATCTAGTGGAGTGCTCTTGCCCTTGTTCAGCCCTTTCAGGCTGCCTGTAGCTCTCTCCCCTGCCTTAATACCCCAACAGTGCAGAGAAAAATGTGCTCTGTGTCACTCTAGAAGGTGTGCTTTTCCTTACTGAGACCACATTAGCTCACAAAGAGGTACTATTGATTTTTTGTGTATAATTGTATCAGTGCAGAAGACTAAACGTGCAAGAAAAGCTTTGATTTGTGATACTGCTGATGTTTTCTTAATTATTTTTCTGTACCAGCTGGTCACAGCTCCCTCTAGAGGATATTAATTACTTTTTTTGGACATGCTTTTTCACAGAATCTTTTTAAAGCTGCAATGCTTAGGGGCTCTTTCATCTGCTGCACAGTGCAGGTGTTCTTGATGCTCTTTACACTGTCGCATGTCGGACAAACAAAAGCTGTAGAGCCGCAGTTTCGATCAGCTTTCTTACACATAAAACACCTCAGACTGCACTATCAGAAGGGCACAGCTGAACTGTTTCTAACAAATCTTCGTATTGTAAATTGTGGATATCGAGCTGTTCTTGCATGGGATGTATCTTCTGAAATCTCAAGGCTTCAGTAATTCTCTAAACCTTTTTCTTGTCTCTGTATTCGGTCATCAATTATCGAAACGGTTAAAGGCCTTTTACAAAATGTTGTTGTTAATGCATATGCACAGATTAATGGTGAATTTCACTCATATGAACCCCAAAGTCATTAAGTACAAATTGAGTCTTCAATTTACAGTATTTAAAAAATATCACTTCATTAAGAATCTGTGTTCATTTAATCAATACAGTTTAAAAAAAGCTTAGATAACCTGGTTGTCAACATCATGACAGGTATGATGTAGTAGCTACTTTATATACTGTCTTTAAAGTCAGTCTTTCTCTTTTGATTTTTTTTTGTTCATTTCTACAAATTCCAGTGTTCTCTGAGAAAAGCATCAAGCATTTATCCATTTTTATTCAGAGCTTCTCTTTGGATGTTGCAGATATGCTTCCTACCACAGGTCTTTTAAGAATTCAGATGTGATGTCTTTTTAGGATCCACATTATAATCATCATCAGGAATGGCAATGTGAAAGTTATTTCAAGAAACCATGCATTCAGGGCCATTTGTTTTCATTATATCAGTACATCTTTGAAGAAAATGGGACATATTCCCTTCAGAAAAACAGAAAGTGAGCATAGATCTCTAATCAGATCAGAGGCAGTCACAGTACTAGCCGGCCAAGAAATTTGAGCTTTGGTTGAAGTGCTTCAGCTCTGCTTCTTTCATGTATACCCAGGCACATCTGGTTGCTAAGCAACATGAGGCAAGGTTTGACAATTTTTGCATTAACACTTTCGGAGCAAACGGGAGGATTGGCATATCTTTCACTGTGGTTGGCTGGCTGACATAAAAAGGTTTCTTTTTGATGTGTCTTCAAAATGTAACTGAAAGCAAAACTTAACTATACCAGACAATGCATTTCCAGTTGAAGGAATTTGCGTCAGACCAGGAAAGGTCAGTCAAACAATTGTCCATGGTGCCCCAGCTGGGTCCTGGCTCATGTGCCAGCCCTTTGACTCGTAAGCTGGAGCTCATCAGTTGGCAGATGGAAATAAATGTTTGTTGTTGGAGCACAGTTCCTGGGCTTTGAGGAGGAATTCAGTCACAAACACAGGAGAAGCCTCAGTACTGTTGCTCTGTTCGTTGGTGCTATCCAAAAGAGGTCACAAGCAATGTAATTATGATTTGAACAGAAACTGCTGCGTCCATTTATTCAGATGGTCTGTACAAACTGGAGTCGACAATATGAACTTGACGGGTATATAAAATAATAGTCTGGTTTTGTAAAAAAAATTGTCTGCTGGATTAAATACAGTATACAGTATATACTGTACATTACTAGAAACGTGGTATCCAATTGGACTGTTTTAGACTTACTGTTATGTGTTTTTCTGCACTTTAAAATGTGTTCTGTGCTCCTCTTCTGTCCCCCATACTAGGCCAGGTTAGTGTTTTTAAAAGGTTTCAGGAGAGCCCGGTGCTGTGCTCTGAGGAAGGGCCGTGTTCTGCTTGTGATGAATGCAGGGGGTGTACAGTCAGGACTGAAGCCTGCACCGGCCTTGGCTTTCAGCAGGTCAGGCCGAATATGTGACATTTAAAACTATTTGAACACGTTATTGAACAAATGGATATTATTCCTTGCTTAAGAACATAAACGTAACAAATGAGAGGGACCGTTCGGTCTGGCTAGCTGGTCAAGCTTTTCAGCCCCCACCTGCCTTCCCAGGTATCCCAGGTCTTAAACATACTGTTGTGCTTCACTAATGCTTCTGTTTTCTCGGTGGGAGTTTCCTAGGTCACTATCATAAATGATAATTTATGTTCAGTTGACCTGTCAATGTGAATATTAGATTTTAGTGTCTATTTTAAGAAAGATAGAACCCAGTCAGGTAATACCTTGTCTTGTTTATATTCTTGTGGGCATCTCCTGTACGTAACTTAGTTTTTTCTGCTGTTTAGGTTTGTAAGGGTAACACAGCGTTTGTGACTGGAAAATATGCGTCATTCTAAAGGGTTAAAACTATGTGGCCTGCACTGTGCCAGGCTTGGTGTGGGATTTCACGTATGGTATTGATCCATATGGTTACACAGTGTAGTCAAGCCAGCTGACTTAGTGCACGGCTCTCAGAGTCCTGGGCACAGAAACAAATATACCTGGAGCTTTGCCAGGGCTCCTGGACTTGGAATTTATTATTCTGACAGCACAGCATTGGCCTGAATTTGCAGATTAATTTTGCAGACGCTAAGGCAAGCATATTTCCGTCACCTTGAATAACCGTGTTTTGCCCCGGTTTTAAACATGGGTATTAATGTTATCGTGTGTTCCAGCTCGTTTAGGTTTATGACAATTTGCAGAAGAAAACAACTGGATGTTTCTATTGCTTACAGCGCTGTGGAACACTTGCAGCAAAGCTCAAACATAGTCTGTATTACTGTGGTGGAGCAGTGAAGCTGAGCTTTAAACTAAATTAAATTTTAATTGAATTTAAATTTGAATACACTTTTCTAGATCAAGTATCAGTTTAAATATACAGTATTTGTTTGGTTGATTGTTTTTTACCATGGTCTTTGGATTATTATGTAGTTAAGCCTACAAATGTTTCTAAATGTGCATAGTGCTAATTAATACTGTATTTTGTTCTTATTAGTATTAGCAGATTTCTGCGTTCTGCTGAGGCACTGTCACCTCAGAGTCTGTGCAGTGAAATTCTTTGAGAGCCCAGGAATCGGTTTACTTGACATTGCATTGCAGTTTTGTGTATACCTCTAAGAAAGTCTACACTTAATACCATGTAGCATTAATACAGTTTTTGATGAATGCAGATGTCTGTCTGCAGAAAAGCAAGCTCCAGGAGGTCTTGCCTTGAGTAACCAAATGAAATAAATAGCTGACAGTGTTTTGCTTGTTTGACAGATGTACATGCTAAGCCAGTTCTTTTCCATTTGAAGTCTGATCTAGCTGTTTTTAGCAGTCTGTTACTGTACATTGCATCTCAACACTTCTGCCTGTCTGGCAAAACGTAGCATGTTTGTGGAAAAACATATGGCAGAGTAGGTTTTCCCCCACTTTTTAAATCCCGCAAATCTTCTGTTGTTTTGCTTCATGATTTTTTTTCTTTCATTCGATTGAGTAGGGTTTTTAGGAAACCAAAATCTTCCTCATAGGTGGAACAAATTAAGCCCAGGTTTTTGCAAACAGGTTTAGATTTTTTATGTTTGCCCGAATTGATCATTAAGGTGCCATTAATGAAATACTATTCTTTCCCAGGATGTGGGAACATGTTTGAGACTTCCTCTTCCTCTTCAACAGCTAGCTTAGGACATTGACAGCTGTCCCACAAAGAATAATTGAAGGTAATTATAGAGTCTTGTCTTGTACTAATTAAAATTTTAGAAAACATTTTCACTTTTCATTAGAAACCAAAAGTGAATGGGAAAGATGACAAATCATTTTCAGAACTGGCATTTTCATTTTTTATAATTACCAGCATATTTTGCAGATTTTAATTGATGTGTTCTATACTATACTGTATGCCTTGGGTTTCACAGTCTTTTAAAAAAAAGGGACCGTAGCCTAGCCCATCTGCCCAGGTGGTGAAATTGAAATGACTTCATATTATGTGAATCTTGATTTCAACTTAGTCATTGTGCCACTATTTCACCAAGTGGAAATGATCATACCTCTCGTGAATGTCAGGAGAGCAGCCCCGGGCAGTCTGGAATGCTGATGCCAGATGACTAATTCCCCTGTAGTCCATGTTAGATGGGCCTGTAATATAAGTCCTGGAGCTGCTGCTGGAGCTCCTGGCTGCACTAGGATATGAGTAGACCCCCTGGCCGTAATTCTGACTGGTTTTTATTCCAAAGGTCTTTCCATTCGAGCCAGAAATTTTCAACTGCTTCAGAACTACTGTACATTTCCATATCATGTATTCTGCCTAGAACAACAAAAATAAGTTGAGGCTTGGTGGATCTAAGCCACTTAAGTAACATACATTTTATTCTAAGCAATAAACTTTCTACATTATTTAAAGGGCTTCTTAAAGATGTGACTAAAAGTGTCACTTTTGTGTACTTAAATTATTCATGAAAATGGCACTATTAACAATACACAATACAATTTTAAGCTTTTTTAACTAGACACTATTTGATATGAATGTATCCTAAAAGTACCATAGATTCCCAGTCTTACTTTATTAATTATAAAAAATGTAATATATTTATATTGAACAAAAATTGTTTTGCTCATAAGAAGCATGCACCATTTTTATTTTTCAAAACTTTTGAAATGTGACTGTAGTTTGCTACATGAATAACTCTGTAATATGTGAATGTGAAGA